TCCTTCATTTCTTTTACAAAGTGGGAGGGGAAAGCTAAACATGCCCGCCATTTTACTTAAGAGGAGGCAATAAATTATGCAATGTTTTTCTGATCATAATGACAGATTTAGGTGATCCCTTCATTTATTATCATTATCATTACAATAACTAATGATGATGTTAGTTTCCGGCTGGGCACAGTGGCTCACTCGGGAAGGGTGAGGCGGGAGGATTACTTGAGGCCAGGATTTCGAGACCAGCCTGGGCAACACACCAAGACTCAGTCACTAAAAAAAAAAATTTAAAGTTAGCTGGGCATGGTGGTGTGCACCCAAAGTCCTAGCTACTTGGGAAGCTGAGGCAAAAACGATGGCTTGAGCCCAGGAGTTGGAGGTTGCAGTGAGCTGTGATCACATCTCTGTACATCTGCCTGCGTAACAGAGCAAGACTTTGTCTCAAAAAAAAATGAATAAACTGGAATCAACCAACATATTTAATAAGAGAGACTGGCTTTTAAAAATAAGGTAACATTCAAAAATTGAATATGATACAGTTAAAAAGTGTAATTTAGATGTGTACTTGTTCACATGGAAAAATATATACAGAATGTAACATACAAAAATAGGTTATAAACTGTGAGTCGCTTGTTCCATTTCTCTTTTAAACACAGTAATTTTGCTGTGCACAGAAAACATTCTAGAAGATATAGAAATAGTATGTGGTGCTCATCTCCAGCTGGTCGGGCACGGACGAATTCAGGACCCTCCTGTATCTGCACTTTTAATGACCAGGGACCGACTGCGATAACAACTTTTAACAACTTGCTGTGGCTCAGTGCTTCCTAACCCTCTTCTGATGAAAGCTACGGCCTCTTCCCCACTGAATCTGCCTCAGTCCCAGGATGCCCGTCCTTGCTCTGAGGCCCAGGATGCCCGTCCTTGCTCTGAGGCCCAGGATGCCCGTCCTTGCTCTGAGGCCCAGGAGTGCTCTCCTGTCTGACAACCGCCGTGGGGGACGGAGCCCCCCGAACGCAGCAGTGGGCGAGAGAGGAGCTCCGGGAGGGGTCCAGGCAGCCACGGCCACGGGTGGTGGAGGAGACACGCCCTTCCCCACCTGCCACACAGATCCCGGAAAGGGTGCAACCATTATACTTCCAGGGATTTTACGGGTGTAAATTAAAGACGCTGGCCCCACTGCACTCTACCTGGGGCAACAGAGCAAGACTGTCTCAAAAAAAAAAAAAGAAGGGAATTGAAAGGTGGAATTCTCATCCTTGAGGATTATATAACACCTTTAATTTATACAAACTCATCTACTCGGGCATCAATAGCCTAATTTTACATCAACAGGTAGAGAACAAGCCTCCTTTAATTCAGTCCAAAAGTCACTTTCCACAGCACTCCGATGGTTTTAGAAGAAAAACGACATACCCTTAGGAAAAAAGTTTTAAATTTACGTCATTAAAAAAAAAAATTAGAAAAGAACAGTGGGGGGTTTAAAATGCTTTTGAGAGGGAACATGTCCTGAGCAACACAAGGCAGGGCCCCCGGGGCCGGGCTGCGGGGCGGGAGGCAGGGCTCTCACCGGCGGCGAAGGCAGAGCACATGACGAAGAACATCCCCACCGCGATCCTCTTCAGGGACGAGGGCAGCAGGCCGTGCCTCCGCAGGACGGGGTCGATGAGCTTGTCCTTCAGAGGGATGAGCAGGAGGATGAGCACGGCGTCGAACATGGTCAGCCAGGCGGCCGGGAGCTGCGCGAGACACGGGACGGTTGGCCCTGCAGCGCGAGCCAGCGGCCGCCATCCGACAACACGTCTACCCCCCACGGACGCGCCTAAACCACGTCTACCCCCCACGGACGCGCCTAAACCATGTCTACCCCCCACGGACGCGCCTAAACCACGTCTACCCGGGACAGACGCACGCAAACCCCGGCTCCCCCCACAAAGCACAGCCCCTGGGAAAAGGATCCCAGTCCCAAGGCGCTGGAACAGGGAAAAGACTTATTTCTAAACAAGTCTTACTTCTCATTTCTAAAAGCAAATGGATCCACATTTGCTTTTCTGTGTTCTAAAGGGACAAAAAAAAAACAGATGAAAATACTAATCAACTTCATCTAGTAAATGACACTGACTGATGAAAAAAATTCTCTAAGGAAAGTAAAAACTCAACTTCGGTAACTGTTTTTAGTTCGTGGTAACTGCTAACACATTTATAAAATTTCTTCAGTTGGTAGAAGGGATCCATTTCTTACATAAGCCCGGAGTGACGATTTCAGATCATCTCAGTTGTTCTTACCGTATGAGGAGTGGTTGTAATGCTTGAAATTTCTGGAATCTTCAAGTGAAGGCTCTGTAAAACATACGTCGTCTGCATCTGGGTATAAAAAGCAGTATTATTATACATGAACCAACCGTGCTTTTTAAATACTTTAAGCATATCGCCCCTCCCCTGGACTAGACTCTGATGAGACACAGCAATGACTCCCAGAAACAGATGATGGTTCAAGTTTGAAAATGAACAAGTCAATTACTTGGTCATCATAAACGTCCTCTGGAGACCAATTTGGAAAAAGAACTGCCAGTTATTCAAATGAGACATTAAATTAACAGGAGGGGCCTGAAAAGCCAGAAGCAGACCTATTCTTAGCTTCTTTTTTAGGGGAAGATTTTCAAAATGTTTAAAGCCGCCAAAATGAGCCCATAACTAAAAAAATTTCCAAGATCCTAGAGAGACTCGTGGATAAAAATCACGAGTCCCACATAATGGCCAGAACAAGTGCTAGGGCAAGATAAAGGAAAGTAAACCTGGTTGTCACCACTCACTTGGAAATACACTGTCCAGTAAGGTATCAAAGCCAAGAAAACAGGGACAATCTTGACCAGAGCTTTCACATCTTCCACTTTATCTTCTGTAAATGGCCCTCCACGAGACATTTTACATGAATCAAACAGACTTTGTTTAGAAGATTGCTGAAAGACTCCAATGCCTTCACTTTGGGAAATAAAATGAAGGAATTAGTTTTCTTCCACCCCCAGCAATCAAGTATCTGGTCACAAATTAAGTTTGGAGGTAGGAGCCGAGCTCGCTATGCTGAGTCTGCCTCAACTCTTCCCGTCGCTGACTAACTGCACTCACCAGACTCGGCTACCCAAACTATTTCTAAACACCCCAGTGTGTGCGGAAAGCGCTGGCGAAACAAAAGGTCTTCCCAGAGTGCAACTGGGCTACTGCGCTCTTGACTAACGAGGCGAGAAGACACAGCGCTGACGGCTGACCTGGGCCCCGGCCGTGCTCACGCCGTCCAGCGGGCGACTACGCTGTGCAGAGCCTGCAGCTCCTCCACCTGAGGCTGGGAGCCACTGCGGTAATATTCGAAAACAAGCAAAAAAAAAAAAAACAATGCGCTGGATTTTTCTGATTTTAATTAGCTAATTTATCAAATATCAAGACCTGATAGCCAATACTAATGTGTTAAATAAAACCATGCTGGTTTATTTTAAATTGAGTTGTTGGTTTGTCTGATAATAAAGAAGTCCAACAAGAAAAAAAAAATAGAAATAGGAAATAAATTAAGTCGTGGGTATGCCCCTGAGGAAGGGCTCTGCTCTAGTAGGGAAACTGCCCTCTCATGGGAGGAAGCGCTGGGGGGAGGGGAATGCTGGGTGGTGATGAGGCCGGCTGGTGCATCACGCCCCGCCCGTGTGCTCCCACGGCCCATGCGGCCTCATTCCACAGCAGTGGAAGCTGGGCACGCGAAGAGTGAAAAATGTGCCCCAGGTAAGGAAGGTGGAGTTGGGGCTGGGACTTGGACAGGGCAGTCTTGGCTTTGAGCCTGAGGCCTGACCCACTGCCCCCCTCTGCCCCCCACCCTCACCTGCGCCCATAGCAGCCTGGAGCAGGAACCTGGTGTTGCGGCTCTTGTACTATCAAGTGTCACCAACTCACTCTGGGCCTGCTCCATTATTTAGGAAATGAACAGGTCCCACTAGGAAGCTCCAAGATCTCTCCCAGCCCCGAACCACTGTAATGGAGCAACACGCACATGGATCTTAGGGGTAAAACAGGAAAAAAAAAGAAAAGGCACGCTATTCTCTAAAGCCAGAAATACCAGGAGATAATCAGCTGCCATTAAGATCACTTCCAAAGCTGGAACTCAGAAATGGCAAATGCCCACTTTCTAGTTTACAAAGTCATGTCCCATTTAGTAAGGTGCCACTATTTTAAATCACTTTTATATTATAAAGCTGGCATTTTAAAGCTAGACTTCCAGAGTGGGGAAAAATTAAAAAGCTGAAAATTGTAATTTAATACTTTTTAGCCAAATTCTGGAGAAGAAACTAAATGTAATCCAACAAATATTTACTAGGCACGGGCTATAAGCCCAGCACTGTCCAAGCTGGGTGCCGGGACACGTTTCCAAGGACAAGGTTCCTGTCCTTGTGGCACTGAAACTCTAAATTTCCAAGTATTGTGCATACTTTTATTTGAGAACATTCATTACTTCTTCAAGTTATTTTTTTTCCAAAAAGGGAATTTAAAGTCTTTATGGACCTCATACAGATGCTATCAGTGGTTTACCATATCATATTAAATAAGTGTTTCTATAAAAACAGTTAAATGCCAAATAAATCTATTTTCACACAAAGAATCATTCACATAGGTCACCGGTTATATAACTATTGCTTTACATCATTAAAATATTTTAAAAACTGCTAAGTCAACATGCAGCTAAAGCTTCACCTGGTTCATACACATTGTTAGTGTGCAGTCTTGCAACATACACAGGTCCCACACAGAGCCACCGTCACAAATGACACCAGAACACGGACAAGAGTCCGCCGTCCCTGCCCCCAAAAGTGTGTGTGCCCCAAAGTCAAGACACCTGTGCCCAAGTCCACAAAGGCCGCACTCAGGCACATGTCCGTTCTCCAGGAAGGAAGGCCGCCGGGCCTCGGAGTCTCAACCCGAACAGGTGTGCGTCCCACAAAAGCTGCGGGACCATTTCCACTCCAGTCTGATGCACTGAAAAAACACATCTTCATTTCTCATTTAAAATCAGCGTTAAAGCAGGACGAAGGCCATGGAAGCTGGGAATCCACTAAGCAGTGTGTAACGACTCACCTGCTGAATCAACTAGCAAAAAGTTTTAAAGAAAGAATAAAAGTATAAAAATATTAAAAAATAAATAAAATAAAATCAGCATTAAATCATCTTCAAAAAACAGATCAACCTAGAGCAAAGGCGGAGACTGGGCCGGGACGCTGAGTGCTACAATTAGGAGGGCGCCGGGTCATGCCGCCCTTCCTAGGGCCTCTGCGCCCCGCACCTTCCCGCAGGCACCCTGGTCAGAGAGGCTTCCATGACCGCGCCCCGACCTCCTGCTGCCGGGGCCTTTGCCACATCACCTTCCTCAGGCCTCGCGACACAACCCTACGGGTCCACCCACCACACGACACGGAAAGGCGGGCTTGGCCAGGTCACTAACCTGCCCACAGTGACAGGCCAGTCCATATGAAAAGCAGAGTTTGAGAACTCTTTAGCTCATCAACTTTTCTGCAAACCTAGTCCTTCTTTTTCTTGTTTTTGCCCAAGACAACTTCCAAAAACAGACCTAAGGAGAAATAAGTTTCCTAAGTAACTCCAAACCCTCTTCATGCTGCTTTCTGTGCATTAAACCCCCAAAGCGGCAACACACCAATGCTGTTCTCTTGCAGAAATGTCTATCCGGCACCGCCCACACAGACACACTGAGACATTAAGGGCTGCTCCTGAAAAGGGCTGTACTGCGCTAATGGTATTTAACCTACAGAATAAACATCTAGGACCCGAAACACTGCTCTTGTCTGACCAAAATAAGGTCCTGGCAAAGACTGTGTCTGCTGCTACTTTAATTTTAACAAACTCTTGAGTGCGGCCCCACCACGTGTAGTTTAGATCACACATCTGAAATGCCACGACGACCCACCCGCAGACCCAGCAGGTCACTGGGGTGGTCATCGGCCAGAACGCCATACAGGGACAGCTGAAGAAATCAGACACTCAGCCTGGAGCGAGAATGCAGGCCCGTGAGAGCTATTTTGGTGCAGCTTCAAATCCGCCACGTGGAAGGAACATTAGACACCAGCTTGTTGCGGCTCCAAGTGCACAAACAGGCCCCAGTGCAGCAGATGTGCAGGCACCTGCGGGAGAGCGGCCGGCAAGCTGCAATCGCCCCCCAACCCAGCCTCTACCAGAAACTCCTCAGTGGATCGAAATATTCCACGGAGGGGACTGACCGCAAAAGGCCCAGGGACTTCTCTGGGGTGATGGAACGCACTCTACCTTGACTGCACTGCTGGTGACGTGGTTTGAAAACACTTGCCACAACGCACAGGACCACAGAGCTAAAAGGGGCAAATTTACTTCATGTAAATCACGCCTCAACAAACAACACAAAAATTTCCGAGATCTCTTCTTGGGCCAAGATCTGGACTTTTCTTTACTGACCTACACCTACCGGGACCCAGCGAGCATCCGTCACAGTTTGCAGGTGATGTGGAGGGGCTCCGAGGACACAGGGCTTCCTGTTTTAAAACCCCAAGCTCGTGGGACTTTCAGCGAGGTAAGTCCCGAGAAATCAAAGACGACGTGGTCACCCTGAGTGCACCGCAACGTGCTGCCACCGCGCCTCCCCGTCGCAGAGTGACGAAGGGACCGCTGGGCAAAAGAGCCCACGCCGCCCTGGACCGCTGACCTCTCCTCCGGCCGCAGCTCGCTTCCAGAAGAGCACACACGGTGCTGACCACACAAGCAGCCACCTACTTTCTCTTTCAACTGCGTTTCAGAGCTTTTCAAAGTAAAAAAGAAACGTGTTCTGCTCCTCGACGCCCTCTGTACACGTCTACCTTTATAACCTGCCAGTGACCAGCCAGGAGCTCCTGTCTCAGCGAGAGGGCGTTCAACGCGGGGGTCACAACACGAGCCCCGGGGTCAGGCCCTGGCCTGGGTTTCGGACACGACAACAACAGCACAGCCGCCACCGCCTCGAGCGATCCCGGGGTTAAAGGAGACAAGACGAGTAAACCACTTAGCCCAGCGCCCCGCACACAATAAGCACACGGCAGACACAAGCTAGTATTTTAATTAAACTGACGGGTAAGCCATCTCGCACTGAGTGAGTGACCAGAGTCCGGAACTTACCCGCTGCCCCGGCGCTCCCGCCTGTGCTTCTGGGAACAGCAGGAGTACGTCAGTATCTTGAACATATCGGTGAAGGCGCTGCCGTCGGGGGGCTTGGTGATGAATACGCTCTGGCCGGCGAGGAAGACCACGAAGGCCAGGCCGACGCAGACGGTGGGGATCGCGTACCCCGTGACAAAGCTCACGTTCTGCTGAATGTAGGCAATGCCTCCTAGCGAAAGGATCGCTCCCAAATTAATGCTCCAGTAAAACCAATTAAAAAACCTCCTGGTGGCTTCGGGACCTCGGTCTTTAACCTAAAATAACAGGGAGGAAAAACCGCTTGAAAACGTGCGATAATCTCTGAGGATGAAACAAACAACAACAAAAAAAACATGATAAAGCGATTAAGATTACTGTTGTCATCACAACCTTTAAGAAATGTAGCAGAATCAAAACGGTGTTTACAGATACATTCAAGGGTCTCCCCACAAAACCATATCCTACACTTTTAATTACTGCAGATGCCAGGTAGGTTTCTCTTAATTACATGCTAAATCCCAACAAATCCTGCGGAGTTTTCAGAGTTTGTGGACCACCTGCTTTAAAATTTTTCAAAGTATCAGAACCACCTGCTTGGAATTACCTGGCATACTCCTCAAACATAGAGACTCACAGGACCCACATCTACTGAATCATCATCTCTGGGGCTGAGGCCCAGGAGTCTGCATTTTAAACTTCTGCGCACAGGCGAGTTTCAGAAGCACTGTCACACAGCTCCGCGCGTCACTGAGCCCAACGCCAGTGCCATGGCACACCCGGCAAACACGCACAGGCCCACAGAGAGACACCGCGGCTCCTGTTTGTCCAAAGAGGCCAGGGCACCACACCTATTGTGTCTGGTCTCCTGAGAATCAGAGATCTTGATAAAGCAAAGAAGAAAATACAAAGACAAAAATCACAGGCTATTAGTATTTCTACATTGGAAAGACTGTCAACATAAGAGAAACCTGGGTAAGGGCAGGGATCCCTTAAGGGCTCAAAAATCACTGACTTCTGGACTCAGACAAGAGCACTAAGGGAACTCACGCAATGTCTTGGCTCATGCCCTGCCCAAGAGGACGTCAACGGAGACCATGAGGCTGACGACAGTTGGTTTGGCGGCAAACATGGCGTGAGCCTTCTCTGCCACCCGCACTGCCACATCTCAACAGACCCGGCAAGAATGAGCCCTGTACTAGCCACAGACATTTCTCATGGGTTTCACTTCATCAAATTTTTCAAGACGCTTACTAGCTAAAGGCTGATGCTGGATCTCATACAATGACTGTCTAGCCTTGCTGTCTTGAAAACTTCTACTGTCTTGTCCTTGAGTCGCAGGTTACAAAAGGGTTAGAAAATTCCTGTTCCAGTAGCAGATCTGGTTTTTGATCCAGATCCAGATCCACATCCAGATTTAAAAGCAATCTCTTCTACTGAATATCAAGTTTTAAACGGGGCTAAAACAAACTTATTGCACTTTTATGCAGTAAGTACAAGCATCTTTTTAGCAGTCATATTACTTGATACGTCAATTTAAGCTCTACTTTTTAAGACTAAAGTAGAAGTGTAAACTATACAGTCAAAATTGTGTGCTCCTCAAAAAACAAAAAATTTAAGTCCAAAAGATTTAGCAAGGCTACTGTGTTGGCAAGTAATGTGCTTGAAATTAATTATATAGTATCCACCATTGCAAACTGAAAATGTGAATTTAAAACACCACCACCACCACCACAATTCTCATTCATTTAAACTGTTCTCCTATTCACATCAGCAATGAACAGAGGTCCTAGATCAAATGCAGGCAACACTGTTGAACAAACAGTTTGGACTGAGAATTTCTTCCACATCTAAGACAGAAACACAGCCTTCACTGTGACACAACACATTTAAATTTTACTAAACCATGGGCATATGATATTCACGCTCTACTGGACACAGACCAGAAATTAAAAAAAAAAAAGAAATGTGAGCAGAAATGGTTACAGAGAAGACACAAGTACAAAATGCAACATCAAACAAGCAAAGAAAGTAATCGTTTTGACAGCCTCAGAAGGAAGAGGACAGCAAACCCAATACCAAACTTCATGGAGACACAATTTACATATTAGCTGCAATTAGCTGGGCCCTTGCATTCCCACAGGGGCCCTGTGCACATCTTCCCACATTCTCAGGCACAGATCTTCTTCACGTGAAGCACGAAAAAATTAGCATTCCATGACTCTAGCAAAACCCTAACCTTAAAATCCCATCCATCCTCATATCCTGAGTAAACATGGTGGTCAATTTATTTCAACCTCCGAGGGTAACCCGTCAGAATCTCTTTATGAACCGAAGACTATCACTAAGCCCCAAGGAACCACACACCAGCCGTGTCTGAAACAAAGGGGGAAGCTGGCTGCTATTACGGGCACATCACATGCTCCCCCACCCTGGCGACAAGCACAGCTGCGGCTTCCCAGTCACCTGACACTGGCCCGTGTACAGTGGCCACGTGCCCACCGGGGCTAAACAAGCCCTTCACGTGGACTGGCCAAAAGGTACCACCAAAGGCAATTCAAAGTAAAGCTAAAAGAACAGAATTGTGTACAGCGAGTCAAACAGTTGGCCCACATGGAAAAATTCCTTAAAAGGCACAAGAGTGCCGCCATTTTTTCCCTCTAGGAAAAAAATGCATCATTTGCTCTCTTAACTGCAAACCAAGTTTTCCTTCTTCAAGGTCATTATTTAAAATCATCCATCCATCCATCAAGAAGGACTGTGACCTTTGAAAAGGGTTCAGCACTGGGGGAAAACGTGAGACTGACACTGTTTACATCAATCTATGTCACCCTGGACACCAGCTCACGTGTCTTTCACATGGCCTGACCCCCCCACTCACTCCTGCAAGCCCAGTGTCTCCTGGGGCCCTACGTCAAGGTAAAGAGGGGCGTGACAGAGGAGCATACAAAGTGCCTTAAAAACACAAACAGATGTCCTCCAAAGGAGAAGGGCCAGAGCAGGGCACCAACCCGTGCTGGGGAGCAGGAGAGCAAGCCGCACCCCTGCAGACCTCAGGGCCCAAGCCAGGCCCCCACGAAGCAGATGGCACCTGGGGAGCAAGGCCTCTGAAACCCCCTCAAAGACCAGCCAACACCGGGCACCGAGCAAGCAGCCTGGCATTAAAGGTGCTAACGTCTCCTCCTCATGTTCTCTGGTTGAGGTGTAACTCACACACGTCAGATTCACCCTGCAGAACCAACAGCCCAATGGTCTCCAGGATACTCAGCGAGGTACAGCCACAACATTCTCATCCCACTGTCATTCCCTTTAACAGCCACTCCCTGGCCCCCCTCCCAGTCTCTGGCAACCACCCGTCTATTAACACTTCCAGTCCCCACCAACTCCTCCCCCCTGGACGTTCCACAGAGCAGAGTCACGCAAGGGCGGCCTCCGTGTGTGGCTTCCTCCTCTCAGCATCATGCCTTCACGGGTCACCCGTACTTAACCTGTTTTCATGGCTAAGTAATATCCACTGCGTGGATATAATACATTTCACTTATCCATTCTTCAGTTGAAGGATATTCCCCTAACTTTTCATTTAAAATAATTTCAAATTTATAGAAAAGTGGCAGGAATCGTGAAGCGTACACTTCTATGCCCTGCACTTAGACTCTTAGCACTCTTTTTTCTGTATATATGAAGTATTTCAGGCTGAACTATTTGCAAATAAGTCACAGCAACATACTTCACCTCCATGTTTCGTTATGAATCTCCTAAAAATAAGGACACTTGTCCATGTGACCCCAATAACATTATACACCTAAGAAAAGCAAAGCAAGATCAATAGGTTGTTAGCTAACACGTGGTCTCTACAAATCATCCTAAGTATCCAAAAAGAATGGGATCCAATCACAGAGCACGCACTGCGCCGGGCTGCCAAGTCTCCCCAGCACCCTTCCATCCAGAATGGTCCCCCTTTTCCATGACAGTGTTACATTTGAAGAGATCAGCCACTTTTCCTGCAGAAATGTCGACTAGCTGTGTAACTTTTAGCAAATAATTTAACCTCTCAAGCCTCGTTCCCTCATCTGTAAAACGGACACTATAATGGCATGTCATGTGGCCTAATAAAGTCCTGTACTCAGCACAGCACCTGGTGCTTGGTAAGCACTCAGCAAACGTTGGGAAGAGACAGGCACCTCGTTATCCAGTGCGAAAAGCCTAGGAGTCACCTTCCCTATGGCTCACACAGAATCCACGCCACAGCTTGGTTTGTGTGACCTGCTCCAGATCTCATCTTCAAACTCGATCCTCAGCGTTGGAGACGGGGCCTAAGGTGAGGTGTATGGGGCACGGGGCGGATCCCTCAGGAACAGCGTGGCGCCCTCCTCAAGGTACTGAGTGAGTGCTCCTGTATGAGTTCCCCCAGACATGGTTGTGAGGAGTCTGGCACCTTCCCTCTCTCTCTCTCTCTCACTTCCTCTCTGCCTCGTGACCTCTGCACAGCCTGCTCCCTTCCGCCTTCCACCAGGAGTGGAAGCAGCCGCAGGCCCTCACCAGCAGCCTATGCTGGCACCAGGCTTCCCATACAGCCCACCGAACTGTGAGCCAAAATGACTCTATTCTTCATAAATTACGAGCCTAAGGTGTTCCCTTACAGCAACACAAACAGGCTGCGACGATCCACCAGCACGACCCACCCACTCTACTTCTGCGACCTCCCTCCCTCCCTCCCTCCCTCCACTCTCCCACGCCCACTGCCTCCCAAGCCTCTCCCACGGGCCGGTGGTAAGACTCCACCTGCCTGGGAGTCGCTTCTGTACACCCTGCCCTCCACGACAGACATCCACACAGCCGAAGGGGCCGGTATAAACATTCTGAGTTTTATGAGACATCTGGCCTCTGTCGCAACTAAATCCCGCCGCTGGTGAAAGCAGCTATGGAGCAGGAACGGGTGGGGCCGTGTTCTAACAGAGATGTATGGAGACTGAAATGTGAATTTCGCAAAGTTTTCGCTTATCACGAAATATTCTGTTTCCAACCACTTCGAAAGGAAAGAACCACTCTTAGCTTGTGGATCCTCAGAAAAACAAGTAGACCCGACTTGGAATTCCCGCCACAACAGGAAGGAAGGAACTCCTGCGGGACATGCCATCCCACCACCATGCCTCTCTCAAACACCACCAAGGCTTCCTACTGTATTCAAAACAGACCTCAGACTCTTTAACACACCTTGCGTGGCAGCCTCATCCGACCACCTCCTCTCTTCTCACCTTTTTAACGCTTCCTGCAATGATTCCAGTTTGCCATTGCTCTTAAGGCTGCCTCGTCTGCACCTGGTGATCATTTCCAGTCTCCTCCCTGAGATCCTGGCGGTTTTGAGCAACAGAGAGTGAGCCTGGTGCTAACTTAACTCAAACTCATTTTCACCAGGCCTTCCCCTACCAACCCTATCCCAGGACTCCTTTAACACAACAAAGAAGGAATGGAGAGCTTTCCCGCTTTTTTCTTTTTTTGTAAAACCTACAGCCAGCCCTAGGGGCCCTCCCATGCCTCAGCTTCCTGGCCGCGGGGCTGTTACCCTTGCAGAGCCCCAAACCCGAAAGCTCTCCAACAACACCTGCTACCTCCTCCACCTACCCTTCACGTCTCCACCCGCAGGGCACCTGCACAGGCAGGTGGTGGCTTGCCATCGCTCCCCTGCACCTGTCACACCTGCCCCGGGGGCTCGCTCCCCGCCCTAGCAAGAGGCTCCCCAGGGGGTCAGGGGCGCGAGGCAGGTGCGGCAGTGCGGGCGCGGGCGCGCTCACCTGGTCCGCGCCGAACGGCGTGATGTTGGCCTTGACGGTGGCCACGCCCAGGCCCACGAGCACCAGCCCCGCGAAGGTGGCGGGCGCGCAGCGGCGGCGCGCTCGGCAGGGGCCCCGCCGCCGGGCCGGCGCCGCCGAGCAGTTGAGCACGCGCGCCGGGCGGGGCCGCACAGGCGGCGCGCGCGGGGGCGCGCCAGCAGCCGAAGACAAAATAAGAACAAAATAAAGAGAGCGAAGAAACAATAAGAGAGAAAAGAAGATGGGCGCGCCGGCCGAGCGCGCGTCCGCCAAGCCAGGCCGCCGAACGGCGGAGCCGCGGTAGGTGAGGCCCAAAATGAACAACAGAGCACAATAACTAGACTGACACTGCAGCAAGACAAAAAACAATCACGAAACGAACGGCCCGTCAGGAGCACCATTGGCCGTGACGCCGTAGAGACGCCGCGCGCTCAGCAGCTCGCCAGCAGCAACGGCCCGCACGCCGCGCGCCGGCCCGCAACGCCGCGCCGCCCCGCGCCCAGCAGCGCGCGCCCCCCGCGCCTCCTGCGCGCCGCCCGCTCGCCCGCCCGCCCGCTCGGCCCGCCGAACCGCCGCCGCCCCTTCTCGGAACCGACCCCGCCTCGGCGCTCCCAGTTGCGGCCGCGCGCCACTCAGCTCCCCGCGCAGCGTCCGTCCCGCGGAAGCGGCTCCCCGGCAGCATGGCTCTGTAGGTGGGCGCGGGACGGGGTTGGCCGAGGCGCTGGCGCGCTGCAGGCGGGTCTGTGTTTAATGGTGAGACTGAGCGGGCGCGGAGGTCACGCCTTCATCCCAAGCACTGGGAGCCGAGGCGGGCGATTGCTTGAGGTAGGAGTTCGAAACCAGCCTGAGCAAGAGCGAGACCCCGTCTCTACTATAAATAGAAAGAAATTAATTGGCCAACTGATATATATAGAAAAAATTAGCCAGGCATGGTGGTGCCTGCCTGTAGTCCCAGCTACTTGGGGAGGCTGAGGCAGGAGGATCGCTTGAGTCCAGGAGTCTGAGGTTGCTGTGAGCTAGGCTGACGCCACGGCACTCACTCTAGCCTGGGCTACAGAGTGAGACTCTGTCTCAAATAATAATAATAATGAGACTGAAACCGAACGCCAGAAGTGGGCCTTCTCGGTTGTCTGTTGCTGGTGCTAATCGTTTCCTGGTTGCCAGCTCAAATGTCTCTGTGCCAAACCTCCCACACTAGCTCAGCTCCCCCATTTTGTATTTATAAATTCATTTATTTAAAGTATTTCTTTGAGACAGGGTCCCACTCCGTCACCCAGGCTGGAGTGCAGTGGCGTCGTGGTAGCTCACTTGCAGCCTCAGACTCCTGCCTCACACAGTCTTCCTACAGCAGCCACCAACCACTTAACTGGCTATTTGAACTTAAGTTAGCTAAACTGGGCCAGGCGTGGTGGCTCACGCCTGTAATCCTTGCACTTGGGGAGGCCGAGGTGGGAGGTACGGCTTGAGGCCAGGCGTTCGACACCAGCCTGAGCAAGAACAAGACCCCCATCTCTACAAAAAAATAGGAAAAGTAATTGTCTGGCACAGGAGTTTTCTGCCTGGTTCCTGTAATCATTGAGTTTGCAGCCCTGGTACTAAGCCCCAGTGACTGTGTAGAGGATTGACGTGAGTTGACTTTTACCTCTTTGTTGGGGATGCTTGCGGTATACCCCTGCTCCTGAGCGTGGGAGTCTCTCCTTTGCAACTAAAATAGGCATATAAATGACCTAACTCATACAGCAAGGTGTCTACAGGACAGGTAGCATTGTCTTACAAAATATATTTTTGTAGGCAGGCTCTTCGCCTCAAGTGCCTGTTGGAAAAGAAGACCTTATCCCAGGGGGACACTGTGGCATGAATTAGAACTGGAAATGCACTGTTCGCTGTGAATCGCAGGACTCTGTCTTTCCCCGCACCACCCTGTCCCCTGAGCCTCACCCGGTGAGAGCTGGGAGGAGATTTGCTATTGGAGGGAATGAATTCAGAAACCATCAGAGACGGGCGGTTTCAGGGGTTGCCTGATTTCTCTGACTTTTTTTTCATAACCATTCCGCCTCCTGTTTCGCATCTCCATTAAGTTGCTCACCAGTCGCTGCCAGACAGTTGCATCTCCTCACGGTGTCTGCTGCCTCAAACTGCCTCAAAACTTTGGTTTAGAAGCAGCCGTCCCGGCCTTTCTGTGCCATCCACACATTACTCACTCATTCAGTCAACAAATAACTGTTCAACACCGACCACATCGGTCATGATGGCTCAGCCTCAGCACTCCTGGCCTGTGTTTGTGCTTTTCCAGATTTCCCAGTCCCCTGGGGAGGGACTGTGTTAGTGGTTATCCCTGTTATGGCCACGGGCCATGTGATACATCTTCTTCCTGTCCTTGGGTACAGAGAGTCATCATAAATTCCGTTTATTTCAGGGAGTCGCTGTTGCAATGGTTCTTTCTGGCTACAAATGATCTAAATAGAAGTAGGAAAGATAAGAAGTGAAGTAAGGAAAAACACAGCCAACCAATGGAATGGAACCACGTCTTTTATTAAGCCCAAACCAAAGCTACATGCAGAATGAATTCAGCTCTCAGAATGACTTGGGTTTATTTTTACAGAGGATCTGAGAGTATATATATATATATATATAGTCAGGAAGGTGGGTTTTGATTTGATTTTTTTTCAAGCACTCATTTTATGTGTCCCTTATAAGTATCGACCTCTACTTCTTGGGTACCTTCACTCTTGTGTTTTGAAAACCCACAAGACATCTGCAAAAGTTGGGCATTCACCAATAGAAGGGGGGGGGTAGAAGACAGGGAGTAAGTGAAAGAAAATGAACTTCTGCTTCCTTCTACTGCAAGAAATGCAAGATATTAACAAATGTGCAACCACACCCAACATCTTATTTTAACTGCCACTTTTATAGTTTTTCATGAGTAATCTTAACCTATATTGTAATCATAAAATAGATAATTGGTAGTTATAAGTGTATTTTTTTTAGGTTAGGACTTATAGGAAAGATCAACGGAGATGAATAGAAGGAACAAGAGCTGAAGCACAAATATAAAATAACTCAGCGTACAAAGTGAAACAAGCCAGGCACAGAGAGATAAACGCCACATGTTCTCACTCATATGTGGAAGCTAAAAAAGTTGATCTCATAGAAGCAGAGACTAGAAGGATATGCTAATTACCTTGATTTAATCACCACATATTTTATACATGATCAAAATACCACCTTGCACCCCATAATTATGTACAATTATACATCAATTAATAATAATAATAAAAGCCAAAAAAAAACCCCTCAGTCTATGATAATAAAGGGATTTGCAATCCAGGGGAAGATGGATTGTTGAATAAATTCTGTTGAAATAAATCATTAAATGTGGGACAGACAGGCTTCACATTCTGTACCAACATAAATTCCAGGCGAATTAAATATTAAAGAAACTGAAAGTATGAAATCATTAGGAGAAAATATTGACATCATTATTGAAATATATTGACATCAATATTGAAAATATTGACATCAATATTGAAATCATTAGGAGAAAATATTGCCATAAAGGGAAAACTTGATTAATTTGACTACATAAAGACGCAAAACTATGTATATAAAAATAACTATCGCAGTTAACAGCAAACAAACTGAAAAAAAAATTGGAATACATAAGACAAAGCTAATGTTCTTGTTTTATAAAGAGTTTTTAAGAATCTTGTGAAAAGATAAACATCCAATAAATGAAACTCACATAGTGAATGGCCGGGCTCCTTGGAGGAGCCAGTTCAGCATCCTTTCTCTCTCTGGTAACGGCACCTAGATTTTCCTTAATCACTTTCTCCTGTGGTTTAGGGAGGGCTGGCTGGACTCCATGATCCGGGAGTGGGCACTTGACCTGAGCCCATCCAATCAGCAGTGTCCCATCTATTGAGCTAAAGTAATTGGTTCAGAGATGGGTGTGGGATCCACCTTGGTCCCAGCCAATCTCAGGGCTTACTCTGGAACGGGCAGAAAGAAGCGATTCTCCTTGCTGCGGAGCTTGGAATTGTAAGGATAGAAGCCTGGAGTTGCCAGGGGCCATCTCGTGAAACCGGAGAATTATGCAACCCAGAGGGAGGTAGAAATGAGAGAAAGACCTTGTTTCAAAAAGAAAGTTTGTAGGTATTGGTTCTGATTGTAGCTAAAAGTGGCTTTCTTGCTGACATTTGCTTAAGCACTCTTTTCGATTAAGCAAATGTGACTTTCTGTCACTTGCAATCAAAAAAGGTCCCCACCAATATAAGCAATACATAGGCACGCATGCACGTATACAGAAAAGAAATCAATACAAACGCCTTTCATGAAAATAAAAAGGTCAACGTACACCAGCAATTTCCAAATACAAAAGAAGGGGTCATGGTTTGTCGCTTGACCTGAGAAATACCCAGTGTTGGCAATGGAAAGGTAAATTGGTACAGCTTTTCAGGAGGGTAATTAGTGCTGTGTATCAAAACCACATTAGCCTACACTTTGTGCAATTCCACTTCTGGAATTTAAGAATGTGTGCAGAGACTGAGCTATAAAATGTTCATTACAATGTTGCTCAAACTAGCCAAAAGGTTGGAAACAGCAAAGAGGCACAGTAAGACACTGATAAAAATAAATCCCAGTGCGTGGGCATATACTGGGATGCTATGTAGTTATTCAAATGATACTGTTAGGTAGACGGTTAGGATCTCTGGCTCTTCTAGGGACAAGGGCTCCCTGCCTTGGTGCTGTCTGGAGCAATTGCTCCACCTTGGAAGAAGGATAAGGGTGGGCACTCCATTTTGGGGTTGCCCCACCCTTAATTCTATCCCTTGCAACTGCTACACCTGGGGAAGGAGGGACGCTTCATCCATCAGGGAATCCCCAGCCCAGGCACGATAGGATTTGGAAAGTGACCTAGAGTAACCTAAGCATAATTATTACTTCACCAGCCTGAATCTGCATTGTGGTTCACTGCCCTCCCCACTTATTTGAGGCTCTGTCTCAAATAAATAAATAAATAAAGGGACAGTCATTAGGGGAGACTCATTCTATATCATCACCCTACTTTAATGTCAGCCAATTTTAGGATTCAAATCACATCTGCAAATTCTCACTCACAGGAGTCTCCAGGTGGGTGTTCGATGGAACCAGGGAGAGGTATGTGTGTGTCCCACCAGGGGAT